GGTGGTTTTGAGCAGACTTGAGTGTACTCAGAGAGACTCCTCACCCGTGATGTCTGCATATGTCTGCAACAGATTATAATCCCTGCCTTATGCGTGCTGCATTTGCTTTCTGTTGGAAATTGCGAGACATGGGCAGTAGCTCAGTGGAAGAGCATTTGACTGCACATCACAAGGTCTCTGGTTCAATTCCGGAGGCCCCCTGTGTTATTCCTTTAAAAATATAGGAATGGATATGAACCTGTCACCTCTGCAGTAGCTTAGGGTTTTGGTCTCCCTGCTTGGAAACCTTGTTTACAGGCCGTCTTATATTTCAATACTAACTCATTTGAAAAACTGCATATGGAACTTTCTCATCATTACCTCTTGTGGAGCAGCCTGTAAGGGTTAGGTTTTAGTTTAGATTAGGGTGACCAGGTCTGTCACCTTAATCAGATTTAATCAGACACTAAATATGTCCAAAGACATGCAGTAGTGGCGATGGGTTAGTTGGGAGCTCTAAATCACCCATAGGTGTGAATGTGAGTGCGAATGGTTATCTGTCTCTGTGTGTTAGCCCTGCGGCAGACTGGCGACCTGTCCAGGGTGTACTGTGCCTCTCGCCTTAAGACAGCTGGAATAAAGTCCAACCTCCCCACGACCCTGAGAAGGATAAGCGGAAGAGAATGGATTGATATTTACATTACGTGTACGTGTGAGTGCAGAAGGGAAGGCAGCCAGACAGTTATTGGTTTCCTGCCATTCAGGTGGATGTTACTTTGTATCAGTCACATGTACCAACTCAGTTACAGACCACATTCAGGATATCAACAGACGGTAATCATAAAGAAGACAGCAAATGTTGGGACATTTTCATCCAACACCCTAAACAGTCAGTGCTCACCCAAAGACTCTTTAATTGTTGTTCTCTGGAAGACTTTCCTCTCCTGTCACTGAATAGCCAAAGAATTGTTACAAGCATGGGGTTTCTTAAAATAATGCAATCTAACAGCATTTAATATTTCACACAGTAGTAACAGTTCAAACAAAAAGGAAAGGAGCATGTTTGGAGATGGTGTTATCATTTTCATGAATATGCAGGGAAGATCTGTTAGGTTCTGAATATATTCACAGGGTGAACATTTCCTCTATAAAACAAAAGGCCCAACTTGCACTGCAACTTTTGCATTTTTCAGACTGTTTATTAACAAAAAAACCCAAGACAAATATTAAGGATATTATTTTTTTTTATGAAATATTTGCAGAGCTTTATGAAGAAACTTTAAGTGCACAAAGTCCCTTTTTAATGTTAACAATGCTACAAAGATTTTACCTTTAACTGCAGTGCAACACAACCTGTGGTCGTGGTGTGAAACGGAGGATCGTTCAATGCGTCGGCATCAGCGGAGGAAAGTTCCAGATCTTCGACGAGGAGGCATGTGTGGGGAACGAGAAGCCTGAAGAAGAGAACACCTGCTTCGAGAGGCCATGCTTCAAATGGTACACCACCCCCTGGTCTGAGGTGAGTCCACAGAAAGTCTTCGAG